CACTTGAAACCCTTTGGTACAATATGGCCAGCTAGGATTTTTTTCATGTTAATTCTTTCCCTCCCACAGTACTCTATCTTGCAAGGAGGGCAAGGGGGGCTCTAAACTGATGAGCAAAAGTCACGGTTCTTCAGTCCTTTGTAGTGGGACCCAAACCTAATACTCATCATCCAATCAAGAGATTTGCACTACAGTTTTAATGATGTGTTATATTGTGCTGGTGCAGTACATTGTTGAAATCACTACACTATCAGAAAGGCTCCAGAAGTAGTGCACTGCAACATAGCCGTGTGAACTTGGTTTCAATAATTGTGAATCGCCAACTCCACTCAGTTCTGAAACCAGGTATCATGCCACGGCAACCAGCATAATTTGACACACTAGTAGTACACAATCAGGAGGTGCTCACAAGACCCTATGACTTAGCTCTTTGATGTAATATATATGATTATCATTGTCATTGTGGTGCGTTTGCATGTTGGCCCAAAAAAGTGACAGGTCTTCAGTCACTTTTGGTGGTCCGTGTATCATTCACTCACATTTTCCAATGGGATAAACTGTGTAGCTGGGTGTACACTTCTGACTTTGGCGGGTCCAAGAATATTCGAGGATATTGGTACAGCCTATCAGCCTACGAAATATCTTCTGTCAGGCTTTCCGGTAAGTACTCATCAGTTGTAGTAACTGATGCATGCCATCTGTGTTTATAAAATTAAACAAGGGTGAAATTATAGTGACAATATTGGCCCTGTTCGCTTCTCTTATAATCCGTCTTTTTCAGCTTGTTTTTTCAGCCGGAACCGTGTTTCGGCTTGTTTTTTCAGCGAAGTGAACGGGGCCAATACATAATCTCCAGTGTGTCATATGAAGTTTCTAGGGTTGATAGTTACCTCGAGAAATGAGAAGGGTGGAGCAACTTCTGAAAGGTCTTGTTCTTTCTATGCTCAATAATCTTCTCCATCTTCGTCTTCTTGACTGCATAGTTCTGCACTTAACCTTAAATGTACCTAGAGCCTATGTGTTTTGTCAAACCTTACATTTTGATGGTTTATGAAAGTGGTGAAACATAGCTCTGATGGAAACTAATCAAGCAGAGAGGAACAATAGAATACATAAGCTCACATTAATGAACTATTAATTTGAATTGTACTGATACCTACATGTGTTGGAAAAGGAGCTTCAATCTTTTGCAACCACAAAGCTAAAATGTCCTTTAGGAAACAACAAAATCAAATCAACTTTTTTAAATTTGATGGACCTAACCAAAATTTATTGTAAATGAAAGAAAGTAGACACAATGGTAATTCTAGGAACCCCCTCTAATTAAAAATTAAAGAACATTTTTTTTACCCGAGGCAAACCCCATTTCCATTCAGAAAAAGGAAATACAAGCGTTATGGAAGCAACAAAGAAAAGATAGCACCAAGACCAACAGCTCCCTGTGCTACACCATGAGTGGTACTCTGCCTCAGAACCCAGCCTGCCCTCATTGTGAAACCTAAACCATAACCCAACTTCATCCACAGAAGACAAAACGTTCAAACTAACGTTCGAGAAACCTCCGGGCCAATGTATTGCAACAACTATCACGAAACAAAAGAAAACACTAGGTCTTCCAAATGCCTGACGTCCTCAACAACTCTTCAAGCATTGTGATCTTCCCCCTCTTGATATTCTTCAATCTCCACCTGATCACCTGTACCATCACTTCTTCGATAGGATGACAGCACCTCCTTAGCCACCCACAGCATAGTATTGGCGCAATCAATGATCGTCTCCCTGTCAAAAAGTTAAAGAACATGAAGTCTAAAGACTGACATCATTAAAGAAAGAGTGTACATGTACCCAGTCCAAGCAAGATCCTTCTAGGTTAGAAAGATCAGTGTGGAAGGGCCATGCTGCCATTGTAAGATGCCATGGATTCATCGAACTAACAACCTTGGAGAAAGGTCTCACAGCAACAATTTTATCTTCGGCAGTGGGCGTCCCTCCTTTAGCTCTTGGAGGCAAGACTTCTTAAATGAAGCCAGGTTCTAAGCTCACAGACTTTGTATTTCTAACTGACCAGTTTTTCTTCTCATTTTAGACCTCTTTGGCTAGTTTGCTCCTCGGCCCCGCTCGGGCCTCTTCTCTTTCTCCCGTCTTCATTGTACAGTTTTCCCTTTTGTACAGTGGTTTGTTTTGGTTTTAATAAACTCTACAGTGGGGACCTCCCCTGCTGTATTTCCCGTTCAAAAAAAAAGAGAGAGAAATAATGTCAACCTTGCAACAAATATCCAAAGAATGCGAACGATCCTTTTTGGAATTGTAGGCCATAGTGGAGAAATTTGATCTTGGATTCACCCAATTTAACAGTTCTATTGTTATATTATTATCCATCATCATAATCATCAGGGTGATTTTTGAAGCCGAATAGAACATAATGTTTCATCGAACAGTATCTGTCATCTAGCATAGTTTTGACTTTTTAGTAAATAGGAAATTTATCATGTCACGATTCATGGACAGCCAGTTAATTTCAGGTTTACAGCTGTTGTTTGTTCAGCTGATGGATTGGGAACTTTGTAGTGTACAAACTCATAGCAAGAAAAAAAAAGATTGAAAGATACCTGCCAGTCTAGTATGGTGGTGTCAATTCTGTTTTGTCAGAATCGTAGTGTCAATACTAGCCTACATGGAATCTGGAGATCCTTTGAAAGTTTATTCCATTCATATACTGATTAATCAGACAGCAATTTTGATTGCAATTGGCCAACACATGAAATAGATGGTGTGAATCTCTCGGACACATTACAGTGCCTGAATCAGTGCATCGCTCTGGTCAATTCGATTCTTCCTTTCAATGCGATTTGTTACTGTCGCCATCGTGTGACCAATGTCATTGCGACATGTGCTTTACAAAGTGTCTGAAGTGACTAGTCCATTACCAGACCCAATTTCCATGAGAAAATGATGTGAGGAGAACTCCAGAACTTAGTGCTTTCTTCTGTTTGTGCTGTCTGTGCATATGCTTGCTGCAGGTGTTGGAGCTAGACAAGCTCCAGAACGCCGTTAGCGTCGCCGGACCCGATGGTGATCGTGGTGAGATAAATCCTCAGAGATGCAAAAACTCAAGATCGCGCTGGATTATGACGCTGCAACCAACCGCAGCTTATTCGGCCTTGTGCTCCTTGTATTTATAGACTTGCTCGAGGTTTACAGACTCCAAATCCCCCACGCCACATCGCGCAAAGATCGCAACGTCGTTGCACCGCGACGTGCGCTACGCGCGCTCTGAACGACATGGCGTGAGTCTACCGGACACAACCGGGCGAGTCGTGATTCCGCACGCCTACGATCACGCTCTCCCCTACATGACTATTACAGACTCTTAATTGACTAAGATTACATGAATAACGTGCATCAATTTATCTAACAAAACACCCCCTAAACTTGATGCACCTCGATGACACCTAGAGCACTCCGTTGCTCCACGAACTTGACTCGTCCCAGAGCTTTAGTGAAGAGATCGGCGAGCTGTTCTTCAGTGCCAACATGATCAACTTCCACCTTGCCTTCTTCTATGCATTCACGCAGAAAATGATACCTCGTATCAATGTGTTTACTGCGGTCGTGATGCATGGGATTCTTGCTGAGTGCTATCGTGGACATATTATCCATGAGTAGCTTCACTGTCATCTCCTTAGTCCCCAACATGTCTGCAATCAGTCGGTTCAGCCAAATGCCTTGACACGCTGCTGTTGTTGCCACGTACTCGGCTTCACATGAAGATAAGGCAACAATCCTTTGCTTCTGTGATGCCCAGGTAACAAGACTACTCCCAAGGAAATAGCCAATGCCTGTCGTGCTCTTCCTGTCTTCGACATCTCCTGCGAAGTCACTATCACTGTATCCAACTAGAATTGGTTTCAGTTCAACACCTTTATCATACTTGCAGCCATATCCGAGAGTACCCTTCAAGTATCTCAAAATGTGTTTCACAGCAGCCCAGTGTTCTTTTCCAGGTGCCTCCATGTACCTACTCACAACACCTACGGCATAAGCTAGGTCAGGCCTAGTGTTGATGATGTACCTCAGGCTCCCAATTATACTCATGTATTCTGTAGGATTCATAGGTTCTCCTTCCTTAAACTTTCTGAGTTTCAGTCGACACTCCATGGGAGTCTCACATGAGTTGCAGTTGCTCATCCCTGCAGATTCTAGAATCTTGGCAGCATAGGAACTCTGACACAATGTGATGCCATTTGCATCCTGTTTCACTTCAATTCCCAGATAATAACTCAAGAGCCCCAAGTCACTCATGCTGAATTTTTTCTTCATCTCTGACTTGAAAACTCTGATGCCCTTCACATCTGGTCCAGAGATGATCAAATCATTGACATAAACTCCTACAAGCAAGAAAGAGTTCCTATTTTTTCTCCTATAGATAGCATGATCCATCTTGCTTCTGACAAAACCCAGAGCCAACAATTCTCTGTCCAGTTTTGCATTCCACCCCTCGGCGCCTGCTTCAACCCATAAAGTGCTTTTCTTAACTTGAGGACCTTGTCTCCATTGCCGACTACAAAACCTGGAGGCTGTTGCACATACACGGTTTCAGACAGTTCACCATTCAAGAATGCAGATTTGACATCCATATGGTGAACTTCCCAACCCCCTTGCGCTGCTAGTGCCAACAGTACTCGTACAGTCTCAATTCTGGCAAGCGGAGCGAACACCTCCTCAAAATCAACTCCAAAACGTTGAGCATACTCTTTGGCAACCAAACGAGCTTTGTATTTGACTATATTCCCATCAGGGTCTTTCTTGATCTTGAAAACCCATTTAAGGCCAATTGCCTTGTGTTTGGGTTGCAACACACTGACATCCCAGGTCTGATTAGCTTCTATCGCCTGCATCTCTGCTTGCATGGCTTGTCTCCAACACTGCTCGGCCAATGCCTCTTCAACTGATCTCGGTTCCTCAGCTGCAACAAGACAGATGCCACTATACTTGAAAGCCTATAACTCTTCTGTAGTTTCCAGCAAATTCGGTATAGTTCGATATCGCAGTGGAGCGCCGTCAGAGTCAACAGACTGTCCAGTGGGCGGAGTCGCCCATTGCACCATCGGTGCACCAGGGATGGAACTAGGAGTGTGTGGAAGCGAGTTGGATGCACCCCCGGACGATGGAATGGACGCAGCAGGCGACCCCGGTTCAACAGCGTCAGGTACAGCATTTTCAGATGCTTCAGCGGCTGTTGTCGGACAAGGAACAGTATCCTCCCAATGAACCTGAAACATATCAGGCGTTTCAATCGTTCCTCCATTTGCCCTGCTGTCATTCCCTTCCCAATTCCATGACTTTGATTCATCAAACACGACATCCCACGTCACCATAAGCTTGTCTTTCACCGGATCGTAAATACGATAACCCTTTGTCCCCGGTTCATACCCGAGAAAAACTCCTGGAACAGCTCTGTCAGTCAGCTTGCTTACCCCGGGGCCGATCAACTTAGCATAAACAACACACCCAAATGTCCTCAGGTGTTTGACCCCTGGTTTCCTCCCAACCCATGCTTCAAAAGGAGTCTGCCCTCTCAGACTTTTCGTTGGAGATCGATTCAGAATATGTACATCCGTTCTGACGGCCTCACCCCAGAACCGAGACGGCACATTCATACTCTTTAGCAGACAACGTGCCATCTCGATCACTGTTTGGTTTCTCCTTTTCACAACCCCATTTTGTTGCGGAGTATACGGGGTGGTGGTATTGTGCTTGATCCCATTCTCACTGCAGAATACCACAAATGCTCCTGAATTGAACTCTCCTCCACGATCTGTCCTGAGTGCCTTCAGGCGACAGCCTGACTCTAGTTCTGTTGCTGCTCTGAACTTCTTGAAATAGGCAAGAGCTTCACTTTTGACACCCAACAGCTCAACCCACATGTACCGTGTATGATCATCCACAATAAGCATGAAGTAAGATTTGCCTCCTGGTGTGGGCGGTGTAATTTTCCCACAGAGGTCTGTGTGTACCAGCTCGAGCCCTTGTGACGCACGCCACGCCGAGGCCTGAGGAAAGGGAGTTCGGTGTTGTTTCCCGAGCGCACAGCCGTCACACACCTGCTCCACTCTCCTAATCAGAGGTAATCCCTCCACCATCTCCTTGTCTCCAAGGTCACGAAGCGCCCTGAAATTTAGATGCCCAAAACGAGCATGCCATCTCCATGCTTCTTCCTCCATCTTGGTCAACAGACACACTGGTGAGGTCAGATTGACTTTCATGACATACAGGCGATTCCTTCGTTCTGCACGGATCACAACTGAGCGAGTAACCCCAATCTGTTCATGCTCGAACACTTCTAGTACACCTTTGTCAATCTCCACCCGGCACCCTGCCTCCTCTAATTGACCAAGACTAACAATATTGCATCTTAAAGAAGGGATGAAATAAACCTCAGTGAGTACGCGATGCTCCTAGTTCTTGCCGGCCATCGTCACCGCCCCGATACCGCAGATCTCCACGGTAGAGCCATCTCCAAATCTCACTGCTCCTCGCACGGACTCATCCAGGTCTGCCAACGAAGCTCGGCAACATGTCATGATTGGTGGCGCCTGTATCTAGCACCCACGCTCCCTCATTGTACTTCGCAGGGAATACTCGTTCCTGATTTAGGAACAAGCCTGGACCACCGGTGCCCGGTGCGCGCAACACGTTGCACACCTGAGCAACCAGCAGTGCTGGGTTCTTGTCCATGTCTCCGCTGACATGATGAGCTGCATCTTCATGATCTTCTTTCACAGATTTCTTGTTCAGGCATTCTTTCGCCCAGTGCCCATAGACACCACACTTCTTACACCTTCCCTTCCGTCGAGGCGTCCCCGACGATGGGTGACAACCGGAGTCGCGCTTGTCACGGTCAATCTTGCCGCCACCACTACGCGCTCTGAACTTGTCCTTCTTCACATAGTGGCTTCCACCTTTGCCGCTAGAAGATGACGACTCGGTGTGCACCATGCGACTTTTGTTCCTCGCCATCCATTCATCCTCTGTAAGGAGAAGAGAGGGCTTTGCCTTGTCGGTGACTTGATCTGCCGAAGGCTCAAACCTGTCCTCCGCCGCCCTGAGACGTCCGACAAGCTCTTCGACGGTCAGAGTCTTCAAGTCGCAAAACATCTCAATTGTCACCGCCACTTGATTGTAGCGTGCCGGCACAACTCTTAGAAATTTCTTCATGACCCGCATGTCATCCACGCTTGTTTCACCAAGGCCCTTTAGATCGGTTGCAAGCTTCCCGATCCGAACAGCGAAGTCATCGATCGATTCTCCTGGTTTAAACGAGATCGATTCAAACTCCGCCAGCAGCTTCTGCGCATTCACCTCCTTTACTCGCTCTGCACCTAGACGCATCGATTTTATAGCCTCCCATGCCTCCTTCGCCGACTTCTTGTTCAGCAACATGGAGTGCATCTCAGGGGGCACGCCACGGATCATGGCGCCGAGCGCAAGCCGATCACGTCGCCGTTCGACCTTGTCGCTCTCGATCGCATCCCACAGATACATTGCTTTGAGATTACATTGCACATGTGCGGACCACTCTTGATAGTTTGTGCGAGAAAGCATCGGCCAAACCAGATTTCCCGACGCTTGATTCCAAGCGCGCTCCATCGTCTCCTCCTTCTCACCGCTGCTGCCCATGGCGACGGATTCTCGAGTTCACGCCTTCTCGATCTTGGACTTGATGGGTTCAACCACCCAACACCCTCCTCGTCTTCTCTCCGCCGCCGAATGCCTCCTAACCGGGCTTTGATACCAGTTGTTGGAGCTAGACAAGCTCCAGAACGCCGTTAGCGTCGCTGGACCCGATGGTGATCGCGGTGAGATAAATCCTCAGAGATGCAAAAACTCAAGATCGCGCTGGATTATGACGCTACAACCAACCGCAGCTTATTCGGCCTTGTGTTCCTTGTATTTATAGACTTGCTCGAGGTTTACAGACTCCAAACCCCCCACGCCACATCGCACAAAGATCGCAACGCCGTTGCACCGCGACGTGCGCTACGCGCGCTCTGAACGACATGGCGTGAGTCTACCGGACACAACCGGGCGAGTCGTGATCCCGCACGCCTACGATCACGCTCTCCCCTACCTGACTATTACAGACTCTTAATTGACTAAGATTACATGAATAACGTGCATCAATTTATCTAACAGCAGGTTCATAATTTTGAATAGAATTCAATTGGTATGGCTTACTTAGGTGAATTCAGTCCTGAAACAAATCATTGATTTGTATGCCGACACATGCATACATTTTTTTACTTTTTTCTGCTTTTTCACTCACAAGTCTTTTACTATTATTAGGTTATAAATGTAATAAAATTGTGAGCAGGTTCTTCTGCTGGCCTAAATAGCTGCAGTTGCTCCTGTGACCCTTTCAGACTAACAGTGCGTGCAGTAAAATCCATTTTCTAATTCCCTGCAGTGTTGAGAACTTTGATTATGCAACAGAACTGTGTATATATGAACTGAATTACAAGAAAAGGTTAATTAATCAAGCATTGGCAAAGATTAAAAAAACAGTAAATCAGGAGTAAAATAGCCACCGTATGTAAATAATTGCTGTAGACAATCCGTGGTTCATAATGCATTATAGAATTGTTCACAGGAATGAAAAATCAGAGGACGATAACGTTGATTGACATGTTGTGACAAAACCTCTGGATTGGTATCTGCTGATGTGTCGTCATACGCAGCATGTGATTCCTCTGATAGTATTGATCGTATGGTGCAGATCGTCTGGAACAGCATGATCTGGTGACTACAAACATGAGGACAACATCGGATGCTATTCTCCTCGCCCTTTATAAATTGGCACGAGAAGCATCAGTGGGACACCAAAACTCTGAGCAACTAGGCAGCTACTCTCTTCCACACTTGCCAGTGTCCAAGCTTCTCTCATGGAGATTGCACTCACAGTTGGCGCTGTTTCTCACCAAAGCGTACCTGTTCTGGTGCTCGTATCTTTTCTGTCCCTGTTCAGCGCATTTCTGATATACTTCTATGCACCCTTGTGGAGTGTGAGGAGAGTCCCAGGGCCTCCAACCAGATTCCCCATAGGCCATCTTCACCTTCTTGCCAAGAATGGGCCAGATGTTTTCAGTGCAATTGCAAAGGAGTATGGTCCAATCTTCAGGTAATCCTCGTGACTTATTAAAGGCTCTACAGATCTAATGCATAGAGGGAGAAGTTACCATGGTCACCATGCGCAGGTTCCACATGGGAAGGCAGCCACTGGTGATCGTGGCCAATGCCGAGCTGTGCAAGGAGGTTGGCATCAAGAAGTTCAAGGACATCCGCAATCGGAGCAGCCCACCGCCATCAATCGGTTCCCTGCACCAGGACGCCCTCTTCCTCACCAGGTGCTGCTAGTTGCTGTTGAACCGAATGAACTGACTAGTAGTTTGGAAGTTAGAAACATTAACTAGATGCAGGTAGACCGGAATGTTCAGTTCAGATAGGGAAGGCATGGAAAAATTTTGTTGTCTGAAATTTGCATGAATTTTGTTGATTGAGGCAGTGAGCTTACTCATATGATGTCAGGGACTCAACATGGTCGGCGATGAGGAGCACAGTGGTCCCGCTCTACCAGCCTGCGCGGCTTGCCGGGCTCATTCCAGTGATGCAGTCGTATGTGGACATACTGGTGGCCAACATCGCCGGCTTCCCGGACCAGGACTGCATCCCCTTCTGCCAGCTCTCGCTCCGGATGGCCATCGACATCATCGGCAAGACGGCCTTCGGCATCGAGTTCGGCCTGTCGAAGAATACCGCAGCCGCCGGCGAGACCGAAGGCGGCGACGGTGAGGGCGACGAAAACGTCAGGGAGTTCCTCAAGGAGTACAAGCGGTCCATGGAGTTCGTCAAGATGGACCTGTCGAGCTCGCTGTCCACCATCCTTGGGCTCTTCCTCCCGTGCGTCCAGACGCCGTGCAAGCGGCTGCTACGGCGGGTGCCCGGCACGGCAGACTACAAGATGAACGAGAACGAGCGCCGGCTGTGCTCCCGCATCGACGCGATCATAGCCGGCCGGCGGCGAGATCGGGCCACGCGTCGGCGTGGCGGCGACGGCGCCGCCCCGCTGGACTTCATAGCGGCGCTGCTGGACGCGATGGAGAACGGCGGCGCGAAGGACTTCGCGCTGGCGGACAAGCACGTCCGCGCGCTGGCGTACGAGCACCTCATCGCCGGCACGAAGACGACGGCGTTCACGCTGTCGTCGGTGGTGTACCTGGTGTCGTGCCACCCGCGCGTCGAGGAGAAGCTGCTCCAGGAGGTGGACGGCTTCGCGCCGCGCGACGGACGCACGCCGGACGCCGATGAGCTCCAGAGCAGGTTCCCCTACCTCGACCAGGTCATCAAGGAGGCCATGCGGTTCCACCTCGTCTCGCCGCTCATCGCCAGGCAGACCTCCAAGCGCGTGGAGATCGGCGGCTACGTCCTCCCAAAGGTAACGCTGCGCGCGGCGCCGCCGGCGATCTGAGCAAGCTGCATGCTTGTCTGCCAGTTCGATCGCTTGCGGCAAACAAACGTAACGAAGGTTTTGCTTTTGCACGGCAGGGCGCGTACGTGTGGCTGGCGCCGGGGGTGCTGGCCCGGGACGCGGCGCAGTTCCCGGACCCGGAGGAGTTCCGGCCCGAGCGGTTCGCGCCGGAGGCGGAGGAGGAGCGGACGCGCCACCCGTACGCGCACATCCCCTTCGGCGTCGGGCCGAGGGCGTGCGTCGGGCACAAGTTCGCGCTGCAGCAGGTGAAGCTCGCCGTGGTCGAGCTCTACCGCCGGTACACATTCCGACACTCGCCGGCCATGGAGTCGCCCATCCAGTTCGACTTCGACCTCGTCCTTGCCTTCCGCCACGGCGTCAAGCTCAGGGCCATCAGGAGGGGCTGAGACTGGCACTGGCTTGGCTTGCTTGGGGTCACGTGTGGAACAGCATCCGTGATGGTGCCACGGCGTGTCTTCTTGTGTAATTTGTACTTCTAATCTTTAACATATATTGAGTATATATAGGATATATATATATATACATATGTAAATAGATGGTGAAGAAGATTGCACGTATTGAACAGCCGGTAAAGGTGTTGGCGTATTGCAGATACAACTTCAGAAGAAGAATTTGTATGTTGTACGGGCGAAACATGAATTTGGCAGATTTCACGAGATTTGCACAATCTTTACAGATAAACAGCTTGTTCATTTGGCTGTGGCTTGTCGTAAACGATCGTAAATTTCCAGTTGGAACAGTATTTTTCTCTCACACAAACCAGCCAACAGTACTTCTTCACGAACAAGCAACGATACAAACCAGCCAACCGAACAGGCTAAAAGTACTCAATATATGTTAATTATATTAATATAGAAGATTAGAAGTATTGTTCACAGATTTATTGTGAGAAAAAAAATATTGTACCATGGCGGACAAGTTCAAGCCAACACTGCATGGTTTACAGTAACAACTTCCTGGTTTTGTATGGTTTACAAATTGTGATTCTGGAAGAAGCTAGTTTCGTATCAAAAAATGAAAGAACCAAAACTCACTCACATCCTCACCGTACATATATGATTAAAAAACAAACTAGAAAAGGGCTAAAAACTACAAAAGAACACATAAGCTTCTAGAACAGATGCATCTAAAAACATGCTTCTTTTTACATGGAATCACCTGCCAAGAAACAAAAATCGCCAGGTTATAAATATCCAAGGCTTAAATCTAAGAGGTAGATCAAGTGATGTACCATCAAATGGTGGATGAATTCAGACAGGCCATGGAAATGATCTGAGCAGTGCATATAACAGTCTCCCGACTTCCTACAGTGGTGATTCCATACAGCTTTGTGCTGCTACAGTATGCAAAGTTGTGAACAAATGAAAGCTGGCAAATGCAGAAAGCAGAACAGAGTACAAGTTTGTGCCCTTACTTGACTAAGGAACTAACGGAGCTCGTCATGAAAGCCATAATCATCTTCTGTGAATAAAGCATTGTAAAAGACATAGGGGTTCTCGATCATCTCGTTCATGCTCAACTGTCCATCTTTGTTTGTGTCAGCCTACATAGTTGTAGAAAAGGGTTATTAGCAAGTAAAAGTTATCGAGTCTACCAAGAAAAACATAATATGCTAGAAGATTTATTCTTCAGCACAAAGTGAAGCTTATCATGATAAATAAGATCAAGCTGTTCCCAAACACTAGAAAAAATTTGAGCCCAGAATCCGTAGTGCATAATGACGGAATTAGAGACGAAGGAATATCAAGTTATCCTATAAGTAAAGCAAGATGCAGCCGGCTGTTACCTGAGATATTACATAGTCAGCTTGTTGCTTGGAATAGAAGTGTTCCGACGGATGGAGATTATCAATTATAGGCTTTAGCTCATCAGCTGACAACAGCCTTCAAAATGGGGAAAAGCCTCCTATGTCAGTCAGAGAGGATCTTCCTTAAATGTATAGAAACAACTTATAAAACACTGAAAATTGTAATATTTACCCATCATTATCCAGATCAAGGTGTGAAAATGATTTTTTAGCTGGTGCATCAGAGCCACCAGTATCATCTGTTATGCCTTCCTCATCATAGTGTCGAATTGAATAAAATAATCCACTGAAGAACTCTTGGAAATTGAGCTTTCCATCGTTGTCTTTATCTCTTTCCCTAAATAGTCAACACAATTCATCTTAAAATAATATCTTATAATAGCCAGCTGTGCAGCTCAAACAGCAACATAATTCTGGCAGAATTAATAAAAAACATCCATTTCAATCAGATTAACCTGTATTGGTACTAGATGGTATGCCATTACAAATAATTTGGACAGTCCAAAATTGACGCATTAAGTTAGCTTGATTTTGATTGGATGCCAGTGTAGCTTTGTGGAATTTATGATTCTTAAAAAAGGATATCAGCCACATCTTCAGAAATGTTATACTTATTGCATTTACATCCAAAAATGGCATCGAACCCAGTAAGAAACAGCATAACCCAGAGCCTAGTTTGACTACCTGGAATTTCCAAATAAAGCTCGAGGCGTTAGGCAGCCATTTGACATAGTTGACAAAATGAATATAAAAAATTTAAGATTTTAACAATGCCATATAAAGCATCGGAAATATGTAGCCATATTCTGATCTGGCTGTGTGCTCCACTAAACACTATGTGACTTGGCAGCCAATACATGCTTATGTGGTATCAACATCACAATATGAGAAATGGGAAGAATTAAATAGTCAACGAGAATCCAAATATGAATTCCTTGATTATATGTACCATGTAGAATTTGATTTGATTTTTTCTTTTTGTAAACATAGAATAGCACAGGAAGCGATTTGTTGTTAATGCATCAGGTTATTAACCAAATGGGCAAACTCAATCACAGTTAACTACCCTAAATTTGTGGATGCTTATAGTTATCAAATTAGTGCTAAACCTCACATGAATTGCTTAGTCAACTCTGTTTCTTCCTTAGTTGCTTGTGGTGCTTGGCTAGTCAGTTATTGTGTCACACATAATTTACAATCATGGAACAAACCATGTGTGGCAACTGGTAAGCAGAGCACCCCAGAATTATTATTCTTTTATTTATAGCTATTGTTATAATCTTTAATTCTGGTAAGGGAACATCTAATTTGGTTCCATTAAAATAGAGGGGGGAAAAATAAACTTTTCCATCATTGTTGTCCTTGAACAGAACTGAAATAATACTGCTAAGATAAGGTAAGACAATGGACTCGAATACAAACATGTAACGGAAAAGTTTAGAGGGAAAACTTGTACCTGACTTCTTCTTTGCACAACCAATGTATTAGCTTTGGGTTGGTTGTATCAGCTGGATGTAAAAAGCTGCAGGCAGAAAGGCAAACTAATAAATGTTGGATAAGAAAATAAGGGGTTTAGAAAATGCATGGTCAGAGAAGAAGTTATACTCATTAAACTCAGTAAGATTTAGAAAGCCATCACCATCCATATCTGCAGCACTAAAATGCTCCTCCTTCCACCATCCCACTCCATCATTAGTTGAGTTATGATCTGGACATAGACGAGGCTTAGTGCAGAAATCACTAAGGTATGTATGTGATGATTTAGTCATTGCAGGTCGTGGCCTATTGAACTCTTTCCACAATCCCATACCATTTCTTGCTTAGTTATGATCCGTACATAAATGGGACTATTTTCTATGAGATTGGTAGGCATGCACATCTAAACTTTTTCATCCCATGTAATTTATACAACTTGGTCAATCCATGTGACTAGTTGACAACTATTCAAGCTGTTATGTATTTATTGAATCTTTGTTCAACACATATGGAAAACTGGAAGTTCAACGTCTATTAGTTGACACCACAAACACATGTAAAATGCACAATTCAGGTATATTGGAAATTTATCAGAACTCCCAACTCGGTAGCAATATCACTTGCAGCTTATGTCATGCCACTACATAGGCACTGATCTGGAGTAACATTCATATGAGCATACAAATCATAATTACAGTTTCAAGGAAAAATACTAGTGACAATTGACAAAAAAGGCATATGTTTACATCACTGGAGACTATAAAGGTTCCCAGTTGCCACACATGGTGTAGCTCCCAATTGAAGAGTAGGGATTAAAATTAAAAAATATATACATATTTGCAACTCCCTCCATTCCCAATTATAAGACGTTTTGGCTTTTCTAGATACATTGCTTTTGCTATGAACTTAGATATTCACTATGTCTAGATACATAGTAAAACCAATGTATCTAGAAAAGCCAAAACGTCTTATAATTTGGGGCAGAGGGAGTATAATTCAGGCATAGGGGCCTCGGAAAAGGATCCACATTTCTTAGAACTATAGGCAGCAGACCTCATTCATTTTATTTGAAAAATGGTCAATTTGAAGCATTACATGTAAGCAAAATTACAGTGAAAGGATTTCCAGGATATCTTACTAAAAGTCTAAAACATCAGTTATAACATGAAAGTTCAATTGCTTGGCTTCAAGGTGGCCGAAGTATACATGGCAAATGGACTAGCAAAGACGGGTTATTTACATAACAACATTTCCGTTAGGTAAAAGTAAAATGATTTAACATCACGATGCAGCCTAAAAATCAGCATATGAATCCCCAAATCCAGTAACAGGACGTGGTCAAACAAATCTTGGCACCAAGATCAGAGCTTACCTACCAGCTGTCGTTGCTGGATTACGAGTATCCAACGATCTTCCAAATTTAGTGCAAGGATCCAAACCTCACTGAAGAATCAAACATAAACAGTTGGAATCGTACATACATATATGTACGTACCGTCGAAACGCCAGGCCCAGCTGGGCCGCTCGTACTCGCCGAAGGCGATGCGGCCGTCGTGATCGCGGTCGTGCAGCTCGAGCTCCCGGGCGGTGCGGTGCAGCACCTCCCGCCGCGCATTCGCGAGGTTCCACGCGGCCAGCTCGGCGCCCGTGACGGCGCCATCGGCAGGGTCGACGTCGATCTTTGGGAACAGCGCCTCCACGCGAAGCGTGACGTTGAAGCGCGCGGCGTCGTTGATGTAGTCCTCGTCGGCGTCGGCCTCGCCGTCGGTGAGATCCTCCGGGACCGGCGCCGCCTCCATGCCCGGCGCGTGCAGCCCCGCGGCGGCGAGGCGCTCCCACTCGCGGTCTTCGAGGCGGCGCTCGATGTCTGCGACGACAGGATCGAATGGGATCTGGTGGTGGTGCGCGTGCGCACGGGCGCGGAGGCGGGCGGCGGTGCGGGTGCGGGGTGGGGGACGGGGAGGAGGGAGAGAGGCAGAGTAGGAGGAAGAGGAGGCCAGCCGAGGCCAGGGCCAGAGCCAGTGTCAGTGCGACGGTCGACGCCGCAGAGGGCTTCCTCGCCGCCGCAGCCGACTTCGCCATGGCCGATGAGTCGCGGCTCCGGCTATTTGTTTTCTTTTTTCGTGCTTTCTCTTTGGGAGGTGGGAGGTCACAGTTCAGTAGTCCACTCTCAGCTGCACATTGTACTATTGTCAGTCATTCTAGGCCCCTGCAGCTCTACTTCACCGGCCCATCCTAAACAACTTTACTAATAGAGTTTAAGCTATTTTATAAAAAATGCTTAGTAAAACTGCTTTTTCAAGTATACTATAACCCGTGCGTTGTCGCGGGATTTTTTAAAAAATAATTCTGTTTTATATATAGCTATACGATATTATGTATACTATGTATATATATTTGACTTGCATATTATTTTATTATATCGGATCCAATAAAAAATCGGTAAGCTAGTAGAAAAAAATAAATAAATTATTTGATCGTATTATAGAAGAATATGTGATAAAACAAATAGCATATGTAGATGACTTTATGTTAATTAGATTAAAGATTAAAAGTATTGCACATAATAGAGATGATGTGGATATTTTTTTTAATTAATAAGGGATGACATAGATAGCTTCATGAAAAAATTGCAAGTTAGTGGGACAATTAGTGGAGAATGATGTGGACACCATGCATGGAGAGATAAAAAATCTAGTGCGGTTTAGCTTTATAAGAGTACATATTAAGGTCAAAGAGCTCGTAGAAGCTACTCTTTTCAGCTTTACTCGTACCCTTGGTTTGTGTCACGGTTTTCCTCCGACTTCAACCGTGAAACAATTTGCTTTTTAGCCATTTGGTTAAATTATGCGCATAATAGCTTGGAGAGTTGGCTGCGAATCTCTACCAAACACAGTCTATGACACATGGGCCACGTTTTATGGGACCACATGCTAGTTAATGGTGCTAGACTAGATGAGTTTTGGTTTGGAGCAACTCCAACAAAGACCCTCGTATCAGAGCCCCTACTTTTATATTTTCCTGGCATGTTTTGTGGGCCACCATGGCATGGGAAAGTGTTACTCCTTTTACCTAACGTTGTTAGGCAAGTTGATGAGGGTCCCATTAAGAGCCAAGAATCGAGCTGCTGGTCTTGCTTCCTGCCACAGGTTGTCGGCGCACGGGGGGAAGGGGTTTCTTGTCCTATCAGCTTCTAGGACCGGCCAGGCAGTGTGAGCGAACTAGGTGAAAGGATCTAGATGGCCAAAGGGGTGGGGAATAGCCTATGAAAAAAAATTCTACAAACTCAACCGCTAGAGCAAATATTAGTAAAATAACAAAGCCTAATAGCCACAACTTTGCCTAGCTCAATGTCACCCAATACAAACCCCTACACAATTCTAGTATCAATTGATCTCTACAACTAGAGCACTCAACAACACAAGGCTAGCAACTAAACAAGGCTTCTGTAGCTAGCTAAACAAGAGAAGCCACTAAACTAGCGACTCATCAACTAACTAAAACTACAACTAAGCTGAAGGGCTGCAACTACAAGCAACTACCACACACAAGCAATAGATATGAATGTAGATCACAAGTGAAGTCATCAAACCAAACCAGGATAGAGAAAGACACGAGATTTATCCCCAAGGTTCGCATGCGTTATTAGCCTATAGAAAATGTGTAGAAATGTCTCTCCTGACATTCCTGCACTCAAAGATACTCTAACAAAGATCCCACAAATAAGTACAAATCAATAAGAACAAGATGAACATAAGAACTCAAGAGACACATGACTTAACTGAGGTTCAACCAACCCATAAAGGAATGCCTACGTCCTCATTATTGAGGAATCCACAATGACTTGGATCTCTTTCAACACTACCCTCTTATCAAACTAACCACAAAGGTCAAGCTCGAGAGATCTTACATTCTCACTAGAACTGTCGGGGTAATACAAACTTCCCGATGCTTAATCATATATCGAGAGCTCATGTGCAATCCCTTGTTGGCTAGAATTCCTTGAATCTAAGAGTAACAATCTCAAATCGGTGCCTCGAAGGATTCTCCAATTGCTCAAGAGAATGGGTTTGACATTCGGAATCCATTTATGGACATCTAGAATGATGGGGATGGAGTAACTCCCATTTTGGTTGGAGTGTGACACACCAATCCGGATTCAGATTAAAAGACATGAACCCTACAACCTTAGCATCGCATCTCCTCTAGTTATCAACCATGTTACAATCCGATTTACTTCACCAAAAAGGTTAATCCCTACCTACAAAATGAAGAACACAAACAAGAATTCGAGAGTACACAACTCAATTGAAGTGACAATTGCAGATAAATGATTAAGCACTCAAACTTGGGGTTTAACAACCGATGACAGTGATTGTTCGAAGATAGATTAATCCAAAGCAAAACCTAAACCCTTACATGGATTATGATGATTCAATATAAAGTGTTTGGGGGCATGATACCCCATAAACGCACCCCCCTAACGGGCTCTAAGACAATACACGGCACAAATAGACCAAAAGATGACGACACAACACCCTGGAAGATTCTGATGGAATTTTGATGTTAAACCAAAACCATTGGTTAGCTTATGAATTTTTCTTTCCATGCATACGTGAATCGTCAAAAGCGGAGTCAGTATGTGCTATGGGCGTCTGTTTTACTATAAGCTGGTCTTGGAGGTCGAGGCAGTCTCGAACTCGAGTTGGACTGAGCCTCCACACCTCCCTCCATTTACTTTATGATTCTCTCCAATGTTTCTCAGCATGATAACATCATTAGATAGCAATCTATTCACAAAACTATGAAAATGATTGCTTAAGAACGAGGTCACCTTTAGGAATAATTATCGTATTCGAGCTTTAGCCATTGGACCTTGCAAAATAGTTGGTCGATCAGCTGGTGTATCTGAAGGAGTGATGTCCTCATCATGGAAAGCCCTAGCGAGAAATTTTTACGCATTAGAGATAATACCAGACATCTAGAAAAATGTCTCGATTTGTAGAAACAAGTTGGCTCAGAAAATTTTCTCTCAACACTTTTTAGTATCTCCAAAGGGTCTGTTAGCCTCTCTTTTTAGCATGGAGATACATGCAAGATACTGACTTTGAATTCCCTTAATAGTACAACATTTTTCTATACTAAAATTCAGAATATAAAAAATTCAAATCTTCAATGAAACTTCATTTGCCACAACTCATCTCAAATAATTTTGGGGGATCGCCATTCATCAAATACTTCATTTCATATACTTAAAACCTACTCAAATACTTTGTCAACATATTAGTCATTTTATTGTGTGTCATTAATCCACCCAAAACCATGATGGGGCTAGATAAAGTTTCAAGAGCCAAACAACCCCTTAATTTTGCTACCTAATCTACACCGTATAGTTTTATAAAATACTTTGGTTATGAAACACGATCAAGTGTTTGGATGGAATAAACGTTATAGTTTTGAAAAACCATGTATTATTACTTAAAATTGTAGTTTATTATGTTTGGCACAGCTCATAACAACTTCATGAGCTGTTGTAAGCTTTTTTTGTCAAATACCTTTTTTTAAAACAGCTTCATGAGTAAAACTGTTTTTGTCTCCCCTCACAAAGGAATGGAACTAGAAAGAGATGAAAAAGTAGCTTATTGCAACTTCATTTGATAAAAGTGGACCCCAACCTAGGTCCCGGCAGATTTGCCCCGAAACGCTTCCACGGGCTCGGTCGCAGGGGCACGCGTGGTGCGGGGCTAGTCAGGCGGGTGCAGCCATCGAGGACACAGGGCTGGGCATGGCTGCCGAGATGCAGGGTCGCGGCACAGCCGCTGGCGTAGGTCTAGGTGCGTCCGCCGGCGCGGGGTCAAGGCGTGGCCACAGGACCTGAGCGCGTCCGTCGGCGCAGGTGTAGGGTCGAGATGGCGACTAGAGGGGGGATGAATAGTCTGTTACTAAAATTAATCACGCCGGTTAACCGAAACAAATGCGAAATTAAAACAATCGATCTAGCCAAGACTATACCCCTCTATCTATGTTCTCTAGCACCTTGCAAAGATCCTAACTAAGTAACAAAGGTGTCGGGCTATCTAGAGCTCACTTAATCAATTTTAGAAGCAAAATCACACAAACCTATGCCACTAGTACTTCAAGCAACGAGGGAGCTTCTACACATGCTAGTAAGCAAAAACACAAAGCCACATAAGCTCACTAGCAATGCTCAATAATAAGGCTACACAAGTCAAATTATAGAGTGCAAATTACTTAGCTACACAAACTAAGCAATGTGACTAACAAGGTTACACAAACCAAATTTGCCACGCAAGGGAGCTACTTCTATGCTACATAAGCAAAAAGATAATTAGCAAGCTACACAAGCTAACTAATTACAAGAGCAACTACACAAGCACAATGTATATGAAAGTAATTACAAGCTTGTGTAACGAGGATGCAAACCAACGGAGACCACCACCAAGCCATCTTCTCTAGAGCACCGCTCAAGCTTCTTGTGGGCTTCGACGGAGACCGCCACCAAGCCATGTAGGAGGTGGCAACCTCCAAGAGTAACAAGCACCATCGGCCTACAACTCGATCACCTAGTGTCACTCGATGCAACCTCACGATGCAATCGCAATAGAATCGCTCGCTCACTCACTCAATCGGATGATCACTATCAAGCTAGAGTGAGTTAGAGAGCTTCCAAGTACTACCACATAAGCCACCAAGACTCTAGTGTGCTCAGCTCTACCAAGCTACCCGCCAAAGGCCAACCAAGGCTCCTATTTATAACCCCACGTACAGATCAACCAGA